CTGCAAGTGATCCTGGTGAAAAAACGCATTAACAGTATGGACGTTTCAGAGATTGTCTGAAAATTTGCGTATCACCCTGTAATACTAGAAAACATAAGGAGTCCGTTTATGCATTCAGTGTCAGTATAAAAACCAAGTGTGAACTACAAATACTTTTATTTGCTTGGGAATTTTACTTAGTATTAATGGAATCAGCGCATTTATACTATATACTATTATGTAGAATTATCCTTCTAAGTTCACGTTATGATTTATTTTTTGGGTAAACGGAAGTTGTCTAACAAGAAGTCGGTGAAAATACAAGTCGGTCAAACTAACGCTAACACCCTTCATCGGAATTTTCTTTTGTAAACTAATGAGATGTTTAATATACTCTTAATTTCTACTTCTTCTGGTCTTCTTCAGTGCTACGCTATACTACCGGCTCTTGTAATATGTGAATTCGGATTAATGCACGCGAAACTGAGTTAGTGGGACAGAGATTTACTATGGTATCATGAGACTATTACTTTAGCCATTCATAGAATTTTGCGTCCGTTTCTATACATTAGCACACTGTAAAAACTAAGCAGGATTTAGCAAGTTGAATAATACTTCTGTACTGTTCGATACGCTAAAGTCGCCTTATCTGGCCAGTTGCAAGTCTGTATACTGCTAAATGCCAAGTCTGTAGTACGAAAAATTGTAGAAACTTAGGGTTGATAGCTACTCTATTAATCTGTTAATATGCAGTGACATCATCAAATAGATTGTTTACTTGACAATGAGCAAGAAAACAATTCTTATTTATTTCCAGTAATCCGACGATTCATGTGATATAATCTAATATTCATCATTTTTATGATCAACGACTGCAATATTTTCATACCTACTTAATGGATATTTAATTACTTACTGTTTTATGCATCTAATTACAACCAATAAAATTTAATGACGCCCGTTTATCCTGCTTGACCTGTTATTCTTGTTTTGATCGTGATTTTAGCGTGTTTCACAGTGTATCAGCCTCAAATGTATACTCTGTAGCGGTAAATAATTCCCCAAAATTATTAACCACAGCAATCATCACTCAACATTGGATGCTGACCATCACTGTTTAAGTCGACTTGTTTAGCTGAAGGCTTACGGTCAAGCATCCCCGCTATTTGGTACTCCGTCGTGTCACGTGCTTGCATGATTCCTAGCTAGCTAAGCATTCAACTCTACCGGCGATTTTGTCCCGAAATATACCACGTACTTTGGACGGCAAAATCTGGTCTTTTGCTTTATCTTTGGCACTCGAAGAACGAACACTATAGAAGTTGTAGGTATAAGATCTTGCGTTAGTATAATCCGTACAACTCGCGACGTCGATACCCGCAGTCTCTAAAACTGCATGCAGGCATAATGTTTATGAGCTAGGTATGCAAATCAAATAGACGCTTGCACTGTACATTCATTATATATAAGATTAAGTAGTACGTAAGAGCTACGATTTGACCAGTTATGCAACGTTTAAAATGTTTAGTCGCAGTCAACATACTATGGTTAGTTCCATGACGCTTTACCTAAAGCTACGTAGCTACCTTAAAACAGTTTCCCTAGAAGGTTGTCCGCTGTATCTACTAACTCAGTGGGTAACTTCACATTATCTTTGAATTACAAAGTAAAAGTGGATCGTCTCCTAACCGGAAAAAGTAAATATATCCTAATCTCTACGAAAGCATTTACAGGTGTTTATCCTATCACCACAAATAACTCACTAATTGCAGTCACTTTAAAAGTAAAAGATAAATTTACCGAAGATAGTGTGTTTATAATTTCCAGATGTTGTAACGCACCATGAGGAAAAGGCCGTATGCATATGGTTATAAAAGTTAGACGCGCGATATTAATCCGACGCATAGCAACTACGGTACTCAGTAACGGAACACATAACTTTGCTATCTATTCATCTAATCGTGTCAACAAATGTTTCGCCAAGAAAAAGAAAACCACAGGTTCCGGACAAATTTAAATTTTTCTTAAAAATCAGGGACATCCGTATTTATAGCCACGGAGAAATTACAAACATCCGAAAATTAAGGATTTTATTACTTGAAGTGAAACAAGCAGTTTGTATTCAGCCAATGTTTTCACTCCGAATAACAGTCAGCTTCTCAGCTTGTTGTTACTTTGAAAAATCCACCCATTGTAGACCACACTCCGAATTCTTATGCTTGCTAATTAAAGTCTTAACCTTATTTAGGATAACTCATGCACTCACCACATCATCGTATGTTATCCGCTTTTCAAATCGTTTTGCAACATATTAAATGACTGTTAACCCTGAATTTACTACAGGCAGTCCTAGTTCATGTATTTGGATCTGGTACATTAGGCATAAACAAACAGGTAACACTTACCCTTTAGAGGTTTCTGATTGCTTTCCAGTTTCTTTTGGTCCAAAAAATACATACAAGCTCAACAAATTCGAACTTCTCATGTGGCTCTACCTTGTGTAATCTACATTCTCCCACAATATATTGGGTGTTTGTTAACGGATAATAGAAACACTGATGGTGTACTCACCTTCTCGAAAAGCTTCAAAACATTTCCAACTTTAACCCAGGTTCTAGATTCTCCAGGTTTATTTAGTTCTGCTAATATCAACTCCGATCGTGCTTTCCTCACCAGATTGACTCGTAGATTGTTGCATGCTATAAACTTTCGAAACAAACGAAATAACTAATTTTAATAGCAACGGAAACAAAAATGAGGTGAAACGCAACATTTGTGAACAATACGCATCAAGATAAGTTGTGAATGACTGCAGGATGAACGTAAAAACTAATGTGTAATCGAACAGCTACGGAACTGCAATCCAACATGGCCGACTAACATGGACGAAAATGACCTTTGAGCGTCTCACTTCACCAATGACCTTGGACGTGACAGAAAATGTCAGCCCAGATTGACATTTAAAATATTGAGACAGAACTAAGAGCTTGCGAGAAAGGTGTTTATTACGATTAGGTCGGTTCAAGACAACTAAAACAATTACTGAAAGCTCAATGCACTAACTATATACTAACGCAGCTAGTCTTTTCTTCCCGAGCACTGCAGAATCACCGGACGCATCGCAGAACGTGGGACAGTTATCTGAATTCCGCCCCAAAGATTCTGCAATGCACACGAAGTCTGCCCTCGAACAATCTGCAGTGCGCCTGAAGTCAATGCTAGCTGGGGCGCCTTGCTGAAATTCCATCGCCTCGAATCAAGTGTTTGGATATTTGAATTGTAGGACAATATAAAACTGCATCACAGTTATGCTGTTATTCAGCCCATGGGAATTATTTGACGCGAAACAGAAAATGTGGGCCGAGTAAGAACAACACTCTGACAACACTTTAAAGTATGAGACAGCATCAACGGAAACAAAATGAGGTGAAACGCGGCATTCGTGAACAATGTGCATCAGGATAAGTTGTGAATAACTGCAGGACAAACGTAAAAGCCAACTTGTACACGAAAGGTTAGGGAACAGGAACCCAACGTGGCCGACTAACATGGACGAAAATGACCTTCAGGTGTCTAACTCTTACAATGACCTTGAGCAAGTTCGATAACTTCAGCCTTCAGAGACCGCCTCAGTAACTCACATTACGTGTTAACCGCAAACTTCACGCAATGGAAACCCTACCAGTCACAATACGCACTAGTGGCCTTCATGTGCCAGCCTCTTCCTTAAGCCGTGTATGCCTGTCTCCTCTGTCTGAAATTTGTCTCATCAATGCAGATAACATATACCACAATTTTATTAAAAGTGGCAAAGTTCAGCAATAGAATCCTAAGCAATGCGAACGCATAGGTGACCTTGAGCCGACCAATCAGAAAAAAGGAGGATTTTTGCATAAAATTTTACGTATATTTACATATAAAAGCATAAAAACATTAAACAGGATACTTTTCTCTAATATGAGGTAAAATGTCTCCCAATTTTGTATAGGGGTTTCAGATTTCTATACATGTATTCATCCAGATGACTAAAAATAACTTGGTTTTGAGAACCGTTAATAGCTCTTATTCTATCTTTTAGTCTTCCCCAGAAACCTTCTATTTAATTCGTATGAGTACCGGTTCTGGGGTCGACGAAGTCATTGGAATGGTTGACCCGGTGGTGTATATATCCCAAATCAGATAATCGGTTATATGCAGCCCATTCATCAGTGTGAATGGTGGTGCCTGGTAAGACGAGTCTCTGGATAATTGGCAGAAGAGTCTCCTACCTGGAATAAGTTCGATAAATCCTTTTCGAATTTGAGTATCGCAAATCCCCAATACCCAAACGTTATTTGCTCTGGCACGTCCCCGATTATATTTCTTCTTTATGAGGACCGTTTGGTCGATATGCACCACAACGTCGACACCTCCTAAAACTTGTGTAATAGTGTTCATTTTCCATGACGCCAAATCTCGACAAAATTGGAACCATTGCATAGTTGACATCATTGTATTAGCTGTTTGAGCGGCAGTTGACCTCACCCTGGACTTAAAAACCCAGTAATTGGACAGAAACAGGATATTGGTCAACGAAAGTTTCGACTTTTCAAAGAAAGTTCCTAGAAGACAATTAACTGAGACTGTCACTTACCATTACGAACACTTATTCGTTTTCTACACTGTGTACATCTAAATACATATCCATCAATCACCTGCGTATACGCCTGCAGGTTCATAGAAGCACCACAAGTACATACCCGAGTACGTGCTATTAATCCATTATCTAGGCAGTACTGAAAAACGTGATCTGGATGGAATTTGCATCTGAGCTCATGAACAGGGTTCATTTTAGCGGAAGAATAATGGTAAGGTTCCTCAACCAATGACTAGCATGCGTTCAGGGTCATTGGAACATTCACAAGGTCATTGGAACATTTACAATCCTGAGACTCTATTGTTGAACTTCGCCTTAAAAGTTATTGACAAAAAAATTTCTAAGCGAAATTTTGACAGAACGTGATATATAAGTCCAGCCGTCAATCTGTCATATCATGAATAGTTTTTAGTTGATAAAGTAGCGGTCACGTGCACTTTTGAAATTCACGTTACTTGTGTGTTTGGCAAGGATTTGGATTCTGTGACAACTGGTAATTTTAATCACAGTGGTGATTTTAAGGTTTAAGAAATTAACGTTTGCATGTCACTTATTGATTGGCGAAATAGTTATCAAATATCGTAAACAGTAACCTAAACGCTTAAATTAGTCTCTCAAATTAGAATTTTTAGAACAGCTCTTATACGCATTGTGGAATGAACTGTTATTTTAATATATTTCGTAAAGACTATTGTAGTAAACTGCTACAGCACTGCTTGACAGTTTTTGTGTAGGTGCCATATGGAACTTAAGCGTGCACTATAAGATAACTTCGATTCAGATTCAGATTCAGTTGATAAGGATAGAAGGCTCTTGTGGCCTGTGTTAATCCTTGCAAAATATATCTCTGCAGAGATCTAACTTCTCTTTGAAAGCGTTCACCGATGGAGCTGTTACTACTGAATCAGGTAAGGAGTTCCAGTCGTTGACCACTCTGTGAGAGAATCTAAATTCTGCACGTATTTTAATCGTCCTCGGTTTGAGCACCTTTTTGCGGTGACCCCGTAAATGTATCCTAGAAGGAGAGAAAAGTTTAGAAAGGTCAGTTCCTAAATCACCCTTAAGTATACGGTATGCTAAAATTAAGTCGCCTCTCTTCCTTCGGTATGATAACGGAAAGAGATTTAAATGCTCCATCCTCTTATCATAAGGAAGGTGTGAGATACCACTAACTAATTTCGTTCCTACTCTCTGTACTCTTTCCAGGATATATGCCTCCTTTTTGAAGCATGGACCCGCCGCTTGTACGCAGTATTCTAGATGAGGCCTGACATATGTTGCGTAGAGTATTTGGAACATGCCCTCATCTAATCGTTTGAAAGCCCTACGGAGTGCCCATAGCATTCGAAAAGCCTTAGCTGCGGCTGCATTGCAATTTGCAGTTGTTTTCAAATCATTGCTGACAATGATTCCTAGGTCCTTCTGTTCGTTAACATCAGGTAGTTCTGTGTCCCCTAGGGAGTACGACGTATAAGACTTCTGACCTAAGTGCATTACTGCGCTTTTCCTAGAATTCATTTCCAAACTCCACAGGTTCGACCACTCAGCTAATTTATCTAGATCAGTTTGTAGGGCCGACCTATCCTCGCTATTGTTTACAGTTTTCCATATCTTAATGTCGTCTGCAAATAACAATGAAGATGAAGTAAGAATCCCTGGTAGCTCATTAACGTATAATAGGAATAGCAAGGGGCCTAATACAGTTCCCTGAGGCACTCCACTGGATACTGCTTTCCACCCTGATAGTACACCGTTAACTCTAACCTTCTGCCTTCTATCCATTAGGTAATCCCTAAACCACTCACATAGGCATTGGTCTAGTCCGAAACCTTTAAGTTTACTAAGGAGACCTAAGTGGGATACTTTGTCGAATGCCTTGCTAAGATCAATAAAAACCACGTCCAACAGAAGGTTTTTATCTCTGGCCTCGACCCAATCTTCCCTAGCTAACAGTAAGTTTGTCAAGCAGGATCGTCCTGGTCGGAATCCATGCTGTTCAACTGCCAGTAAGCCATGTGTTTCAACATAAGCTAATAGCTGATCCCTTATAATAGTTTCCATTACCTTTGCTATAATGCATGTCAGACTTACCGGCCTGTAGTTAGATACCAATTGCCTGTCCCCCTCTTTGAATATAGGGCTTATAATGGCATCCTTCCAGTCCCTGGGTAGCTTAGCCTGGGTCAGTGACATTTGGAAAATCTCCGCAAGCGGAATATATATTATATCCGCCAAGGAAATTAACAGTTTAGGGTGAAGTCCATCAGGCCCAGGTGATTTACCTGGCTTCAGTTTAGACAGTAGTTTGAGGACTTTTGTGTGCTCTACCACAATTGAGGGCATCTGAGTGGCGATGGCAGTAACCTCGCCATATCCCTGGGTGGTACTATCAGACGAGAAGACGTCACAGAAGTATTCAGAGAGGTTTTCAGCCTTTCCTTCGTCTGACTCAGCCGTTTCTCCACTAATGCTTATGAGTGACGGTATACCATTGCTAGTTTTAGTCCTACGTTTAATATACGAGAAGAGCCTTTTTGGGTAGTGAACACTATCTAGTACAAGCCGTCTCTCATATTCTATACGACTCTTGTTAATCGCATACTTACAGAGATTTCGAATTTTGCGGTAGTCTTTCTGGAAACTTTCCCTTCCTGTCATAATAAATTGGTCCCATAAGTTCTTTCGCCGTCTTAATAGCCTCCTTATTTCACTAGTAATCCAAGGTGGCTTGTGCGATAGCTTTCGAGGAGTGTACCAAGGTATAAAAGGTGAAGTGACACAATCTAGTGTATTTCTAAATCCTACCCAAGCTTCCTCGACAGTCCGACTTGTATCTACTGACCAGTCAACTGAAGTTGCTGCGTTCCGGATTCCTTGTATATCCGCTTTCCAAATGTTTGGACGAGCAGATTTTGACCTGTGTATGAGAGAATGAATCTTAAACGTAAAAGCAATGACTATGTGGTCACTGCTGCCAAGCGGTGGAAGGCACCTAATGTCACCAACGTCCTCCTTCTGGTGTGTTAATACCAAGTCTAGAGTAGATGGATCATGTTCCGGGTGATACCGTGTTGGTGCATGCATATGTTGCACGAGTGCACATTCAAGCACTGTCAATGTGAACTCCCTATTGAAACAGGTATACAAACTAGTGGAGTTTAATTCCCCCCAGTTAATGTGTGGAGCATTAAAGTCGCCAACAACCAGACACCTATTTCTACTACCCCACGCCCTCAAGTGATTTAGAACGAAGTCATCAGCTTGGCTAGCAGGACTTCTGTAAATAACTCCGATCGTTAAAGTGCCTTTGCTCAGATTAATAACGCAACTTGCAGCCTCACTGGTGCCGCTGTCATGAGCTTCTGACAACGTTGACCTAATCCCTATGTCATCGCGGATGTATAGAGCAACCCCATCACCTTTCCGACTACTTACTCTATCTGCTCGAATACAGATGTACCCAGGTATGAGTGGAGTTAAGTCTACACCCACTAACAACCATGTCTCAGTGATAGCAATCACATCAGGTTGTAGTCTTTCAGATAACTCTCCTAATTCGGCGAGCTTATTCCTAAGACTACAAGCGTTCGTATAGCACACCGAGACACCTACGTGTTCATCCGGCTTATCCGGCAGCATCGGTTTCCGAGACCTCACCACCCGAAAACCCAATATCTTGAGGTCTTTTTCACCTTTCTCTAGCCTGGCCTTTAGTTCAACCACGGCTTCTCTTCTTTTGATTCTATCTTCTAAAGGCCAATCAGGCCTTATTTTTAAGCTTTTATCGTTAATTTTGAACGCGTTGTTGAGGATGGTGCTTTTCTCTGTTTCATTCCCTAAAACTATCTTAAGTAGTCGTCGAGAAGTTTCCGTAGCATCAGGGTTTTGTTTTCCGATCCTGATGGCTTTTCTTACGTGAACTCCAATTGTTTTTTCGGGAAGTATTTCCCGGATTATGGAGCTAACCGCCTTCAGATCATCTGCATGTCGGGCAGCTGGATCTGTGTTCTTAGATTCCTCCAAATTCCAGATGATAACACTGTAACTGGAGTCTGTGGGTTTCTGAGTTTGGCTGGTACTAACATCCATCGAGACCTTGTTGGTGAACTCGGTTGCTGTTTCTTTCCTTCGTTTATTTTGCTTCTTACCTGACGGCACCAACCAAGTGGAGTCAGTTTCTTCCACTTTGTTTTCGCCGCGACTAGAGGCCATTCGTGCACTAGACACTCGGGGACGATATATATCCCATATATTGGGAAATTCAATATATTTCCCTTAAATTTATACTTCGATTTGTTTACGAACTGCCTTCAGTTTTTCATTTTGGTTAGTAAAAAGTTTGTTGGGTCTCCTGGGGAAATCTATGTAAAAATTTGGGGGGAAAAGTACGTCGGTGGCACAGTGGTTAGGACTCTCGCCGACCATGCACATGGTCCGGGGTTCGATCCCCTGCCGACGCAGACCCGATATCTATGGTCGACCTGCCAAATTTGGGCTACCGATATCCATGCTGAAAATGTCATACTTGTACTGAAAATACGGTGTGGTATCAAGCTGTAATCAAAATAAAATTTAAAAAAATAAATTTTCTTCCTAAACCACTCAGTAGACTGAAATTTGGCTCTGAGTTCCCCGAAATTGTACCATATACCTGAAGATTTTTCTGCAGTTCACAATACACTGCATAATAGTCTGGGCTACAAATAACCTTGTGAACGACCTAATAATATTAGTATGATATGTTCGAACGGAATATGTTCGTATTCATATGAAACATAACTTTTATCATGTGTATCAAATGACCATGGTGTGAACTCTGGGTGACAAATAAGTGCTAGAAAGCAGTATTTAGGCGTCTCAGCTTTTTTTCTAAATTTGAAATATTTTTGGTTTTGTTCTCACTTAATATTCCTAACATCGGAGAAGTGCTACCTTCAGGAAAACACATTTTGTCCTAGAGCTATTTGCAGTTCTTATTTGTGATAAACCCTTTTACTATGATATTATTCTTAACTTTTGTGGATAAGTCTAGCATTCAAAATCAATGGAATTTATAACTCCTCTACCTGTGGCAGATTTTCAGTGCGCCAGGCTGAGCCATCCCTAGTGCATGAAGGCTGATGATATCCATCCGCTCAGATTGAAATAGGTGAGACGGAACTTGGACTCGATTCTCGCTGACCAAAACTAGAGTACCCACACCAAAGAAGTACCACTTAGTTTGTTGATAGTAGCATCAGCTCTATATTTAGCTGAATGTATCATTTGTCTTGCTTAAGTGTGTTTGTAGAAGTCAACAGTTAAAAATGGGGCAACTCAAGGTTATTTTCGTTGAGTTGTTAGTCACTAAGTCTTCTATATATTGACTTATACAGTAACGGTTTACGTTATTTTGTGTCACCACTTTGTTATATTTTATCTGGGCACAAATATACCGATCATTTTACTTGAAGCATTTTATACTTCTGGACTACTGTTGTTGACGTCATTCGCCGTTTAGGCTTTTTCGCGTGCTTAGAATTCGGTTGGTGAACAGTATTGATAAATTCATGTTCTATTTATCTTAATTTGTACATACTGGTCTTAGTTATAAGTATTCATCATAGATACGGTATTTTTACTAAATTTAATCAACGGTATAAAATTTGATGCTTATTTCATTTCACCTTTTTTATAGATATTGTACAGATACATATTCTTACCGAGACTTATTATAACATTGTTTCCTGGCGTCAAACATGGCAAATATAAAATCGAAAGTACTTAAACAAAAGGATTCTGGTAAATGTTCAATGAGGACTGCTATGGATGTTGTGAAACGAGTTTTATGGGATGAAATGATTCCTCAGGAATCTATAACTATTGGATATTTAGACAGATTTAAAGGTATAATAGAAAAGCCTTTTGATGCCTTCTCTTGGGAACCTTTGGATAGTTTGGATTACTTTACCTTTGGTGTTCCTGAACACCGTATTCAGTACTTTAAATACAAAGATCTAGTTGTATGGGATAAACGTTTCAGACTAGATCGTGTTTTCGGTAGTAGTCGTTCAACCAAAACTATTCGAGATGTGATTGAAAAGTATGAGAAATACTGTAAAGTTTCTGAAAACGTTCCCGACATTCTTCTTGATAATAAAAATGGTGGTGTTTCATTTCGATGGAGCTTAGAGTCTTTAGACGATAGTCGTCTTTCAGAAACTCAAACAGAAGAGTCTATGGATGATACAGTATCAGAGAAATCTAAACAAAGACCGAATTTTTTCATTTGTCAACGAATAGAATCTCCTATATTTATTGAAAAGGCGAAAAAGATCCAGTCACACATTTGCAGCAGTCAGCCACTTTATAAAGATTGTTGTCTAGACGCAAAGCTTTTTCATCTTACTTTGTTAACAGTACGACTAGAAGATAGTTCCCAAGTGAGTAATTATTTTTCTTTAGTGAGTATTTTGACTGAGGGTTCTAATTTTAGTTAATGTTATTATATGGCCTAACTATACCAGCCATTCTTGTTGAGCTGTTGTTTTATATATTACTGTTACATTAACTAACTTACTTTTTATGTTCAATTCCGTGTCACCGCAGTGAAATGGTTAAAGCCTACCGGTAAACACCCCTGATTGGTGTGACTTTCTTGAAAATGGAAAGGTGATCTATATTCAGTCTTTCGTCCCCTTATTATCGAATAAAGCACTGTCGATAATCATTCTTAAAGTATTTGGTTGATAAATATATTTTGAATTGCTGGTCAGCATATTCAGAAAAGTGCTGTTTACTTTGTTTGTGGTGATTGAAGAATTTCTGTTTGAAGATATCAATCCAAGTTAAATCAAAAGAAACAATGGTCCGCATTGATATTTCTGTGATAAAGCCAAATGAAATAGATAGGATGAATGTTTCTTGTGAGCAGAGCTTGACATTTACCCCTATGGCTCGCTGCACGCACTGTCAAAACCGTAAATTTCCAAGTGTAGGGCTCCTTGATCAATTCTGTCTTTTAACGAAAGACGCGAAAACTTTTGATCAGCGAAGTCAAGCATCGTTTGTATGCTGATAAATACAAGTGGTGTCGCGCACACATAAGAATCCATATGTTTCAGGATCTGATGGTGGGTGCTTATTCATGTTTGAAACCTGTGTAGTTTCATCTAATTCGTGTTATGCTATCTTCTGTAACGTATGATTGCAAGGGCTAACGTTTTAATCAATGTTAAACACTATGATAATCGATGGTGGAAACCTATTGGGAGACATTTCATCAGATGTCCATAGTGAAACTGCAATTGAATATGCATTAAAATCTTTTGTAATTCCCTTCGCAGCTTTCGCTGATTCTCCGGTTTTTCCGAGGAACTGAGATTTTGTGATACCGTTATCTCTGTATTTAAGAATTCACCCGAGTGCTGGTCAAAAGGTGTGTTCTGTCTGTGGGACTTACGTTTTCTAATCATTCTTTTCGACAAACATAGAATACTGTCTGGAGATCAAGTTTGTTTGTGGGAAATGCTACTGTCTTGTAGTGGTACAAATCAAATCAACTCATTTAGGTCATTTTCGGTTGGTCTTCTTGACACGTTAAGAACTTGAAGAACAAGAGTTTCACTATTGTTGAAATAGATTATTCAACAAGTGAGTGGCCATCACTGTAGCGTCAATTTCATGCACGTAATTAATAGACCAGTGTAACTGTAGTGTGTGTGCAAGAAATCTTGAACATGCCTTTTATGTTTACATAATTTTATTTTTCATAAATTACAGAATATACAAATTTGATCATAGGGAATAAAAAGACAGTTGCAGCGAAGAAAATTTTCTTTTCGACGAAATCATCAACTAGGCTGTACATTCGTGTATTTATGATAAATAGGTAGGAAAGTTCTAGAATAATTTCCGGTCAAGGGTCAGATTAGTAGAATTACAATTAGGAATTAAAATGCCATAATAAACAGGCGGATAAAGCTCAGACAAAGTAGCATCATAATTATTGGGAAGATTTACATATTGTGCAATTAGTGGTTAGAAGTGTAGAAATAACAAAGATAGACAGGATGTTTAGATAAAAAATCTAGTGGGATCATAACTAATGTGACGAATAATTAATTATGCAATCAGGGATTAAATATGTAGAAATAAGAAAATGACAAAATAGACAGAAAGTTTGGATATGAAAATATAGTAGTGTGAATAGGGATTAAGAAAGACTTAAAATAACATGAATAAACAGGAAGTTTGGATAAGAAAGGCAATGGGATAGTCACTATTAAAAGAATTACCTGTTTATGATGGCCACGGCAGGGACAAAGGTTGAAGTACTTCTTTTGGATACATAGCGTGGGTTTGAGCTTTTGGATAGCTAGTGCCTCGGCTATACCCAGATGTCTTAATTTTACTTCCTTTGATAGGTTTGATCGAATCTTGTATATTATTTTGAAGGAGATTTTAAGTTTTTCTTAATCCCTATTCACACTACTATATTTTCATATCCAAACTTTCTGTCTATTTTGTCATTTTCTTATTTCTACATATTTAATCCCTGATTGCATAATTAATTATTCGTCACATTAGTTATGATCCCACTAGATTTTTTATCTAAACATCCTGTCTATCTTTGTTATTTCTACACTTCTAACCACTAATTGCACAATATGTAAATCTTCCCAATAATTATGATGCTACTTTGTCTGAGCTTTATCCGCCTGTTTATTATGGCATTTTAATTCCTAATTGTAATTCTACTAATCTGACCCTTGACCGGAAATTATTCTGGAACTTTCCTACCTATTTATCATAAATACACGAATGTACAGCCTAGTTGATGATTTCGTCGAAAAGAAAATTTTCCTCGCCGCAACTGTCTTTTTATTTTATAAATTAGTAGTTTTTCGACTGATTGGTACCTGATAATCATACGCAAACATACGTACAAGGGTATGAATTATGCCTACTGAGTACAAAAATTGGCTATTGTTTGACCACACAAATTCTGATCAATATAAAGAGCTCCGTATTGATTACCTAGTGTTTCAAGACTTTGGGTTATAGGCGGTGAGAACCTCAGCTGAGGGTGCATCAGTGTTGCAATTGGACTCTCAATTTCGCATATATCTTTACATAATAAACTAATCAAGTACGCCTTACTGTATATTTTTCTCTCTCAGATATCAAAGTGCATGGAAGCGCTTAAACAATCAGAGATGGAGCTTCATAGTTGTGTTCCAAAGGACCAACTAACAATAAAAGGCGTAAACAGTTTTCGTGGTCGAGTAATATACGCAGCTGTCGAATTAGATGCAAGTTTGGAATTGTTTGTTAACCAGTTGAACAAAATTCTTCAAATGAAAGGTTTCCAGACAGATGATCAAAGGAAATTTACACCCCATGTTACACTAATGAAGGTGTGTACGGTTTTCTTTAGTAAAAAACCAAGTTGACCGTATCTTTTTCTACACACTAGTATCATTTGAACAAAAGTCCTGATAATTTAAATGTATTCAGTCGTTAAGTGACATTATATTTTCGAATTTCTTTGAGCAAATATGCATAGTCACTCACAGTATCGACATAAGGTTGTATGAAAACGAAGTTAACTTCAAAGGTGATTGATTCAGTCATTGTAGGTGTAAAAATCTTGGTCTTATACTAAAATAAAATGCAATCATTCACTGGTAACGTTTTTCTCAAGTCCTAATCCCAATCGTCTTCTAAACTGGCGGTGTTCTAAAATATTAACAATAAGCATAACGCACATGAGGCGTCGGTGGCATAGCGGTTAGGACGCTCGCCGACCATGCACAGGGTCCGGGGTTCGATCCCCGGCCAGAAATAATGCTGGTGAAGAGGAAAGGTTGGGCATGAGGCTAGCAACCCCATCCTGTAAAATAAACACTGCTACAGAAACTTCAAGCCATTAGCTTGAAGCCCTATGTTCCACTGGGGAACGTGAAGGAAAAAAATAACGCACATGACTACAGGTTATTAAACTTGTCAGGATAATATAAAAGTGCACCCAACCACTTCAATCCTTATTATCAGATAGATTATTGATTCTAAAAGAGTATACAACGTTGCAGAAATGAAGAATCCATTCCAAATGGTTATACTGTTTTTCAGAAGAGTGTATATATTCCACCATCTTCTCTTGATTCAATCTTGTTAATTATTCAAGAATGTTGGATTAGGTTATTGTAAAATCGGATGCACAAAATACGAACTCCTAAAATAATATTGGAAAGTGGAAAATGTGAACACCATCGATTCTTTGAATCATGCACGCAGCTGTGGTGAGAGCTGGCTGCTAGCCAAAGTTGGTAGACGGTAATTGACGTCAATGTTTATGTCCCCAATGTTGGTGGTGAGAAAATGAGAACAAAGGCTTTTCGTAGACGGATACAGTTAGCATATGGATGATCTGACACAGCCACAAGAGATGCAAGGTTAACTTTCTGTGAGAAACAACCAATCAAAAGACTGTATTGTCTACTAACAATAATGTACATTAAAATATATAAATATGTGTTGATTTTCCTTAATAAACGATCTGTTGCCTGACTCTTGCCTTCTGTCGTTACACAGCTAGTCGCACTTCGAAAAGGTGATTTATAAAGTTCCCAACAGTGGGAACAAACTTCAAACATTGTCTGCTATCTTATATGCATCGTCCAGATGAAAGTCAAAATACACCGTGTCAATCTTGTGCCACGGTTCATTGATCACGGTGTACTGTTCGACTACCATAAGATTCATGTAATTTTTAGTTTGGGTTGAGACTACCTGACATATTTCTTGGTTATTTTGGTACATTGAGATGTGTTCATATTCTTGTACAACTTCTGCTTAGCTCATGATGCATATATTCCACATTATATTGATGGAAGGACTGCTTTACTTTTTAAAGTTATGTTTCACATTATAAATTTGTGTATTCCAAATTTTAGGTTACTCGATCAGTGTTTAAAAAGACTGGAGAGAAAAAAGTTGAACCTAATTTATACAGTGAATTCGCAGACATGGAATTTGGAAAACAACCTATCGATTCAATTCATTTATGTGCTATCGGGAAACCTCACGATGTTAATGGCTTTTATCGTACTTTTGGTAATATAGATTTCAGCAATCAGACTTTGAAGTCAGAATGATTTTTGAACTTTTACAATTATCTTATTTTAATACCCTTGTAGCATATATCTCTTAGATATAATGGTGATATTGAAGATGTCTATAATATTTCTATTTCTTTTATATTTTCATGCAGATTTATTTGTAATAATACGTATACATTGAACACAATAAACTACTTCTGTAAGACTTATTCTATTTGTTTACTAGCCATTGAATGAGTGACTACTTCTCCCGTGTGAAGTGGTATAATAAGGTGAGCAATATTGAGGTTAGGCGTCGAGTGCTAGGTAAGGAGGGGAAATCAATCGACGAGGCTGTGAAGCTACATCGACTGAAATGGTTAGGACATGTGTTACGTATACCTAGTCATCGCCTTCCTCGACAATGGGCAATGTTAGCTGATATAGGGTCAGGCTGGAAAAGAGCTAGCAGCGGTCAAACCAAAACATGGCACCAGTCAATGAAATCTACAACAGTTAGTCTAGGCCACGTAGGAAGGTGTAAACTTCCTGGTTGGGGTCCTCGGGACGGAAAAAACCAATGGTTGGAAACAATCGGTGACATGGCTCAAAATCGTTCTCAATGGCGCAGATGCATCGACTCCCTGTGACTTATGATTTCCAATGAAACTATATTGTTCTTCGTTAATACTATTCCTTTGTCTCACACCTCTGTTTACTGTCTCTAATATGCATTTCTCCTGCTTTCTTCTCTTGCTTTGTGTGCTACATGGAGTGTGGCGACTTGAACTGCCGCACATATGTGCAAAGTTCTATGGCGAAAACAGACAGACAGACATTGACTGAGTTAATTTCGTTGTCAAAGAAACTTAATTAATTAATGGGCTACACAGAGAAATCGGTGATTTTGTTATACCAAAAGAAACTGTTTAACCACAGTCGTATGAGCCATCCCTATCAACCGCAATAATTGGTGACATTTATTTCAATTCAGGTTCTGTGCCAGTAAATTTGAAATAAGTATCTCGGGGTTATTGTTAAAACACAATCTTAGTACATAATATGGACACCAAGAGATAGGCCATACGAAACCTCATAGTTTGTGCTTAAGTTGGGATACTGTCTCGATCGAAGCAGGTGGTTGTCTTAAGGGGCCAACCCGCGAGCTTTTGACTTGAATTTCGATCCACCAGACAGTGTTAGGAGACAAATTCCTACAGTTTCCAGTGTCCAAAACAGCTTTACACGTGATTCAATCCAATTGGATTCTGCAGGCGATGTACACCATTGGTTTGGAATCAAGGTTTTCCAGCTCTACCAGGTAGACCTGCATGTTCACTAGATGTCCGCATGCACGCTTTCACTTTTGTCAGGAACACTCCACAGCGTGAAGGCAATGAAGAGAACTTACTTGGGGTAACCGTATGAGAGTATTTCGAGAGGAAGACCGAAGTCCATCCACCTTCAGCCGTACTATGTCATTCATACTTTTTACAACAACTTCAAGTTATAGATAGAAAGTATTGGCAACATAATTCCATAAACGTAAAAGTAGACAAATTATTCAGTATTAAAAGAACAACCATTTATAAAATAATTAGTCAAGGGGGTTACAGTTCAGAATTTGCTTGGAAACAAGGATGGACTCGCGACAGAAGATAGAACAATAGAGTGAATTTATGCATATAATGATGGAGAGTTCAGGGGGATAAGTAATTCGTCTACTTTTACGTTTATGTTGCCTATACCTTCTATCTACAACTCCAAGTCAACAAGATGGAACACTAAAAAGATCCATCTACAGAAAGCCAACGTGGGACGGACAACATACTAACTTTCACAGTTGGGTACCCCTATATACAAAACGAAACCTGATCCGTTCAGGGCCACAGAATTCGCAGCCCTGATAATATAAAAGAGGAATTAAACACCTTGAAGAGAATCTTCCTAGAAAACAGCTGCCCATAACGTTTTATCACAAAATCTATGAAGCCTAAACAGCCCACAATCTCTGCTCGCAAAAAACTTCTTTACCTGAACCTACAATTCAATAGAGATTCATCACCACATATACTGAAGAAAACCTTCACTGCTGCTGAACGCCGGCTAACCTTCTCTACGAAACCAATGATTCGCATGAACATGAAGGATAAGTCACCACTGTTGGCCTCTTCAGTGTGTATCTACCAATTCACCCTCTCGTGTGGAGCTAGGTATGTCGGCCGTACCCAGCGTTTGCTATCCAAACATATCACCGAACACTTACCCTGATGGTTTCATAAAGGAGAAAAAAGATCCCCGCCGCCCGAAGCTCTATTGTGTAACACCTTATCGAATCGCAGCACCAAGCAAACCCAGAAAGTAACTTCAAAGCCATCTATGGAATACGTGGGAATCTTGCTAAAAGAGTACGAATCAAACTGCAGAAGCAATATTCACACATTAAAACTTGAACTCTGCATACAAAAGAACTTTGTTCAGTCATTAAATCTACAATGAACCTGACCTATCTTAACACCAAATGCATAGTTTTTGTCTCGTATTTTTCTTGCTTATTTGTTTCTTAACTGTATAATAATTTTCCCCCAACCTCTTATTAAATCTCTACGCCGTAATACTACTGTTGCTAACTTGACTTTTGCTCAATTTTAGTTGAGCTCTACTCAACTCCATCAATTGGATTACGTTACTCAACTTGCTCAGTTAATCTTACTTTCGCTTCTAACCAATTAACGAAATTTGTTATCTAAAACTTACAATTCTAATGACAAATATTTGAAATATTCACTTTGTTACTAAAATTGCTATTGTACAGCTTGAGAATGATATCGCCGAAAAGAGTAACTCTTTGATGAACGTCTTTTCTTTTTAAAAAGTATGTCCAGAAATTTTGTAACTTACAATTGTTTTCGTTTAAAATGTACGCAGTTGGAGAGAATCCAGGAAATAAAACGAGCTGGTATCATCCTGTGAATGTGTTTTTCTATTTTTTTTTATTCAAACTAATGAAGGGAATCGGTTGTATGAAAGTGATTTCCGCTAAACATGGTCTTAAAATCAGACTAACTTTTCAATATCATGTGTTATTGACGCAGTTATCGTAGCTTTTAGCATTCACTACTATTGAATTAGTCAAAAATCAGTAAATTTCATTAACTACGTTCATAATTATGCATTACACAATGACATAAATACTAGACAGTTCATCAGATTTTCTGCAGCTCTTCTAATTTATAGCTAACTAATCAACTAACGATAAAAGCTACCTGCTAAGTTTGGTGTGTTTATTCACATGACAAGAGAAATACTTGTTTTCCTTTTATTAACGACTAACAAGACAAAACTCTTCAATGCCAATTTCATATTTACAATGTATCATCAGAAAACTGCATAGACTAGTGATGTGAATGAGTGTAAATATGTTAATAAATCTAAAAGTGACTAACAAATGCATGTGATTGCACCTTTTATGATATTTCATCATTAAGCTCTGGATCAACAACAGAACTAGTCATGTGGTGAATACTACTGATAAGATTTATCAGTAGTATATAAAGATAGGTTCATTGGCATGAAAAAACATCAAATAGCAGGGACACAGATCTTATGTCAGAGAAACAAATGATACAGCACTGTGGAGATACATGGGAGACGTGAAAGGAACACAATATGGAGGCTAGAAGTACCACAATACGAAGATCTGTGCAAACTGTGCGTTGAAGGTAAGGTGTATATAATTTGGCTACATAGAGAGACCGATTCCCAAACAAAACATCGATTTACTCATATGCCAGTCACTACAGCTGCTACCATAGTAGACGTTTGTAGACTGAGACCTGAGGAAAAGGCAAGTAAAAGTTAATCGACATCTTATATTTACTCGTCATTCCTGTCTCAGGAACTAACTATCATACCAGTGTACACATTAATTATTAACCTTCATTTGTAAATCCTGCTTTTTGATGACTCTTTTCATTAGGATGTTTTTGATGAGTATGATAACCAACCAACTCATATTTCCTGGCTCGACACGACGTTATCTAGCCGAAGTGTTTTGCAACTATTTGTAGGTATCTTATCTCACAAAATAGCTTCCTTCTGATGATATTCGATGGTGGGAGGCAATCGGCAGGAAGCCTTCCACCTAGGTTTCGTGCTAGTTGGCACTCGTCAGCAAGGCGTATCTGCAACCTTCTGTAAAATCATAATGCAGAACAGATATTTCGCGATTTATTTTGGTTGATATGAATACAATAAATACCCATATCGATGAAAATCCATTCGAAGTAATATCAGGTTTCAAAAAGATGACTTAAATATATGCTAGGCTGTAACTAAGACACCTCTTCAGGGTACGCATATACTTTCATATATTCTGGAGTACATCTTTTTAGGAAAGCCAAAACTAATTAGTATGTGAAGATGTTAGTGATGAATAATTTCTACTGAGGCACTAGACATTTCGATACATCAGTGGAAGGCAACAAAGTATACTGCCGAGTGGTTGGAACCACTACAACATATATCCCGCCTATCAGTGCTTTTACCGTAAATCATTACTATTAATGAATACTTAATTGAAACAATGTGAATCCCAAAGTGACTATCCCTTGTCATCCAATCTCTTATTTTACTCTTTAGTCTTTTACACACAAGCAGCAGACCAGTTAAGACTAATTTTAGATAAAACAGCTTTATTCATAAGATTTGAATAGACGTTTGATTCGTTGAAAGACTGATTTACAAGATTTCCAAACTTCCGATTCTTCTCTCCAAATGCCTTTTTTCTTATTCATTGCTTTTACAACTGCTCCAACATATTTGTTTCGATAATTTTCTGGCAAGTTGTTTGAATAATTTTCAAGATTGACCATTCCATTAGCTAACAAATAGTATGATATATCTTTTCTAAAAAAGTACCTCTTGAACAGTATGAATAAAAACAACAACAAGATGGGTTACCTTTTTAAAAACAATAGCCAAAAGTTTTGCTTCTGCATCAATCGGCATTACAGGAATGAAGGTAATGCGATCACCCACATGAATATTATCTTTTATCCATTGTCTGCTTAATTCAGAATGCTCTACTGGGATACAAAGTTTAATTGTATCACCTTTAAGTGAAAATGATAATTATTCTCTCCTTTCAAAATAACTTACCAAGTGAGCTGTGGAAGGGTGTTCTAATCTTCGGTAAATGAAATATCTCCAATTCACCACCTGTGTGATTCACATGGTATATTAACCCTTTCAAGCGTATTTGACGACTGTATACACCAGACGGTATGGAGTGAATAGAGTTAAACTTAGTAAACTTGAACAATAAAATTCAGAATCTATTTTATTTACAAGATAAAAATGCCTTGAAAGAAGACATACTCCGCATACAAAAAAGGCTGTAGGTAATAACTTAAAAATCACTTAATTTTACATGGGACAAGTTTTACCTTTATAACTCTTAAATTATCATCTATATACTTTTGAAGCCTATCCATAGCATTATTGACGTTGTGGAGTTCAACAAATGTTCATTGATGCAGTTTTATCTAGAAAAAAGAATAAATGTTAGCAAGAAGAGTGAGTATTCTCGAAAGAAAAAAATAGTATGAAGATCTGTAGTTATTGTTCCCAATAGTCCTAATGTATTTGAATAGCTTAGTAGGATGCCGTTTACTATGAATCTGTTGACAGTTTCACCAATGGTTCTGAATGTCCCAAAGGGACACATCAATATTAACGCGAAGTTCTTTTCAACTCCAGTAGCTAAAGTGAATGAACGAGGCTCATCCAACACCATAGTTACCACGGATTATACGATCCAACTACGATTAGCGAAAAAGGTTCACTTAGAGATGAGAAAACCATTTCTAAAAGATGACAAGTTTAGTAGCATTCTTGAGGTCCACTATGTAGAATTATATTCGAACAGACAGTCAAAATCTACGGAAAAAGTGGAAGTTAACCAAGTCATACTCACTGGGAGTGTACGTAACCCCGTGGGCATCATTCCCCTAGAAAGTGGGCTATTTCTTGAAATAAAAGAGCCGATTATTATGCTAACAACATAGTAATTCATGAGTTTCACGCTTAACATTGTCTCTGTCACATAAAACGCGGACCAAATATGGTGTCGTTGAGTTCCTATACTTGGTAGTACGAGCATATAATCTCTTGTACTGACTTCTAGTTCTACCAGAACCTTAGGAATACGCTCAAAGACATGTTTAATGTATACTCTCTTGATGACACTACCACAAATAGTACGGATTATCTCAAATTTTGTCCTGACACCTGTTGTCCAAGAGAAACAATCTTCATCAGGTTTGACCGTTTCTCCTCCCCTCAACTTAAAAAGTTTCGCAGAGAAAAGGAAAAGTTGCATAAGATGAAGGATAACATTGATGTGAAAAGAGTTAACATCCTAATCAAGTCTGAAATGCAGAGGTTGAATTCAATTTATAACCAGGAGTTTATATCCCGTAAAACCGCCTCTAGTATATGGAAACGTTTCAAAGAAATTGCTGATGGTAAGTAGATGAATAGTATTCCTTATTCATTTGATGTGTGTGCACTAAAAAAGTCTTTCATACATTCTCCCACAAATGCCAAGCTTCCTAGTGTCACAAGTGTTAGTGAAAGCTGCTTTCACTGGTTCCAATACAAATGACGTTCTAAAATGTCTCCAGTCGCTGAACCCTTCTTTTAGCCTAGGACCAGATGGTTTGCCTAGCGTTTTTCTTAAAAAATGTGCAGATACCCTGTTATCCTCTCATTGACTTATTTAATGAAAATTTTTCCATAAATGTCGTGCCAGCCGTTTGGAAGGATATCAAAATTGTACCTATACCTAAGTCAGCTATTGGGATATGTATTAAATATAGACCTATTGCTATTACCTCTCCTTTCCGAAAAACTATGGAAAAGTTGCCCTTACTTAATCTTGAACCTTCACTTAAAGCCTTTGACGATCCCAAACAATTCGCCTACAAAAATAGTAGAAGTAATTTAGATGCAGCTACAGTCGTGCATCATAACATTGTCTCCAGTTTAGACAAAGGGGCTAAATTTGTCCACTGCACCTTCCTAGATTACACATCTGTTTTCGACTCAGTAACTAGGGATATTTTGTTAAATAAACTTGCTGAAACTCAAATTGAGTGTTGGGTTGTGGGATGGCTGCGTTTGTATTTCTCAGGAAGAAAGCAGTACACTGTATATCACGGGAAGTCGTCCACTTCATTGCTTACTGAGGCTGGCGTTCCTCAAGGAGCTGTTCTTACTCCTTTTCTGCTTTCTTTCTTCTTGCATGACTTGCCTCACTCTGATGAAATGAGCTTTGTTAAGTATGCGGACGATCTAACTATTTCAATGTCTGTTAACTCCCAGCTAAACTGTACTAAGATGAACAGCAAATGGTCTTAAACTAAATCCTTTCAAATGTCAGACTGTTAATTTCAGTTTCCGATGTAAAAAGTTAAATCAAGCTGTTAATTCCTATGACCGCTGCGAAATTGATGATAGTGATATGGAAATCAAGTCAGACGTTAAGTATCTTGGATTAATCCTTTCTTCTGACCTATCTTGGTCTTCTCATGTCTTAGCGATTTCTAAAAGAATATTTCGTCTGACTTTTCACATGAAGAAGTTAAGGCACTTAGGCATAACTCAACCCCTCCTCTTAGTTTGTCAACTCGTGCATCTTACCTGCTTTTCTGTACTGTTCACCCTTATTCTTTCCTGGATTGCTTAAAAAAGACTATGTCATACTTCGTAGAACTCTGAAGACTGTCAGTAGGACGAGTGGTATCCCATTGGGCCATATCATTGACATTCTCATTGATAGGCGCTTAGTTTCATGCAACAAATTCGCTAAAGGAATTTGTCAGACTGTGAGCATCCACTTTACCCTCAGCTTTCACCTTGTGTCTCCTCAGGTAAAACAAGAAGTCATTTCAAAAGACTTTATGCACGTACGTCTAAGCATACAATTATAACTATACCATATTTGGCACGTACTTTGTGTGATGAAATTAGTGTCAGACTTGAACTAACTAACGTTCTTTGCACCAGTAAGTAAATCATTTTCTCCATCCTTATTCCCCCAAGCTTTATTGTTATTGTTCTTCTTATATTTATAACCCTCTTAATTTTTTTGTTTATTTTATCATAAGTGTAAGCATCGTTTAACTGTTATTTTTTATGTTTCACTTCACAATGCTATATCAACAGATTCAATAATCTATAACATGCTAAAATTTTCAAACTTAATGTGTAATTCTGTTTGAAACAAACAGAATGTCACTATTATTATATTCATTATTCTCATTTTGTACTTCGAATTTTTTTGACTTTTCTCCGTAAATGTGGACAAATTCCTGTGGTTGATTTTATTAATATTTTCAGTAAATCAGATGCAATATTGTGACAAATGCTGAGAATTCTCTTCTGTATTATAAGTACTGTTTTTGGAATAAAGCAGAATATTACTATTATTACTAACATAAGATCGATCTCGACAATATAGAAATTCTAGGAAAAGACTTATTCGCATAAAGGCAGGCCGACCTCTGAAGCCTTGCGTAATTTAGCCACATCAAATGCAATAAATGGGAGAGAAGGGATAGACTTATCACAAATGTGATAGACGCTAATTTAGTTAAACAGATAAGAGAGAATACAAGGTTTCCAATCCTATGTTGTGGCCTCTGTAAAAATATTATCAGTACTCCAGGTACTTCCAGGTTCTCTAATTGATGTCAGCTCCTGATCAATCCTGCAAACCAACACTTGACAAGTATTATCATGTTTTGACATGTTTTCCATATAACAAACAACATGCACACACACTCATACAGATAAATATGCACACATGACAATTTGACAGTAGTCATTACAAATATGCGGTGAATATTTACATTTTCCTACCGGTACAAATGTCGACCAACAAGTGACCTTTGAAGGAATTCACTTCAATTTCTATTATTTTTTCACCATATATTTTGATGGTTAATAAAATCCGAATAAATCTACCGAAGACGCTGTGGCTTACACAGAGAAACGTTCAGCAAAATTTCGTTTTCAATTCTTCTTAAATATGCTTGGATTATTTTAGATAATTTATAGTGATTCAATCTGACTTGGTGCTCAAATTTTTGTCGGGAATTCGTAATCTCTACGGTGGGGATACTTATAGCCTAACATGAGTGTTTAGACTATCTTCCAAGTTTACCAACTAGTATGAAACACCTGGAAACCAGTCATTCCTGTCCTCCTACTGTTATTGGCATTGGAGCGTATTATCATATTGGTTTGCACAGTATGGTAACGCCTACGCTGAGTTGCATAAGATCTATTATCCATACAACGCACTTGCGTCATTCTGTTAGAGTGAAATACAGAATAGTTGGGGAATGTAACTTTCAAGACGACTGCTGTTGCGCTTGTTACTGTGGGAAAAATTAGTGTCCTAGCGTTTCACCCATGTTTCCCAAGTCTAAAGCGAACAAAATGCTCACTCTAGAACCTGACTGCGAACTACTACACTAATTTTTCCTACAGTAATAAGTGTAATGACAGTTGCCTTGAAAGTCATATTCGCCTGATATTCTGTATTTCACTCAAACCGAATTAAGCAAGTGCAGGGCAGGGATAATACATTTTAGACAACTCAGTGTAGGCGTTACCATACTTTGCAAACCAATATGGTGATACACTCCACTACCAATGACAGTAAAGGGACAGGAATGACTGGTTTCCAGGTGTTTCATACTATAGAAATGATAGAACATTCCGTGGTCAAGTTCAATTAAGCCACCATCGGGGCAGAAGCTGCCTTGAGGAATTGCCACTTGACATGGTAAAGTCATTTCCCTTGGAGCCAATGCATCTAATATACCTTGGTATTGTTAAGAAGTTGGTGTTCCTTTGGCTGGGTCTTGCAGCACGGCGAGAGAAGCAAATGGATAGTAAGATTATTGCAGATATTAATAACGGACTGCAAGGAAGTAGAAAACACATTCCTTCTGATTTTCAGAGGAAATGTCGGTCCTTAGATGACCTTAGCCAATGGAAAGCAACTGAGTGTAGACTTTTCCTACTATATTTGGGTCCTGTCCTACTCAGGAACACTCTGCCGTGCCACCTGTACGCTAATTTCAGGAGATTATCCCTGGCAGTATACTTACTTTCGAGTACCAAATACAGCCGACTGTTTTTGGATGCTGCTCGGACAGATTTGAGTAATTTCTTACTGCAATATGAGGATTGTTTCGGAAGTGAACATATTGTTTACAATATACATTCTCTAAAACATATAGCGGATGACGTTGAGCTGCATGGGCCACTAGAAGAATTCAGCGCATTTCCCTTCGAATCCTATATGCGCAAGATAAGGCAGTCCGTGCACTGTGGTTACACTGTGGCTAAGCAGGCAGCTCAGCGCTATGTTGAACACGTGTACTTAATGAAAAGTACAGGTGTGAAGCATGTACCTAAAGAAGCTGGTAATAGGTGTATTGAATTCAGCAAGGGAAAGCTGACGTATCGGAATACCATATTCACATCTTATTCTCCAGACAACGTGCTTTAGACTGCCGCCTAACGAAGATACCACTGATTCCAAAATTCAGAAATTACTCGGTAATTACTTAAAAATAATTATCTATTTAAAGATACAAATATTGAAATCATTAACCTGTGCACGAAAATGTTGAACATTATGACTATTGACAGAAAATCTCGACAACAAACCTCCCTTCCAGCAAACGATGACTTCACACTGCAGTTTCCGATCGAGAATGAAGACCACTTAGAGATGCTGGAAGCATCTTTAAGAGACGAAAAGTACAAACAGCAATATGTGAGTTGACATATTTAATTCTTATTTCTTGTAGACTGCTAAGATGGTTAGCTGCCTTCAGAGTGATCCAAAGTTATCACTTAAGGTCATGATGCACCATGTTCTAAAACCTGAAGTGGCTTTGAAGTTTACATTTCAGGGGACTTTGACAAAGTCCAGCATTGTGCCTTATACCTTTTATAAAATAATGAGATGTAAGGTTCATTTATAAAGTACTTAGTTCTTTAGATGTAATTATGGCGCAATTCTCCGGCCAACTAATGACGTCGAGAGAGGTTGGTGACATAATGGATAAGGCCACGAAATCGTACTTTCACAATTTGAAAGATCGTGTCCAAAGAAGTAAGCTGAAGAAAGGAACTCAGGTAAAATTGCGAAACACCTGCTTGTTTTTATAAGTCAACGTTTATTGAACATATAGTAATGACAACATTGTTTTCATTTGTAGGCAAATGAAAAAGATACCAGGGGATATAACAGTGGCAGTTATGTAAGTAAACCTTTATAAATGTAAATTCTTACAATGTGCTGAGCACTATTTTTCATCAACTAATCTTATATTTTTCTTATTTACAGGATGCTACCAGTGGATCTCACTTGACGGATTTGCAGTGACAATGTACTACAGTTTATTAAATATAAAATTCTCTCAATTATAAAAACTGATTTCCTTCTGTAAACTGAATGAATTGCGCCGGCGTAGGACACAGGTGATGATAATAAGCGGCAGTCTTTTCGTTCTGAAGTAATGCTAGTCAGTTCTGAATATGTGCTGAGAAGGCTAGAATTAAGCTGAAAAAATTGCCACTATGTGCTGAATTAGGTCTTTTCGTTCTGAAGTAATGCTAGTCAGTTCTGAATATGTGTTGAGAAGGCTAGAATTAAGCTGAAAAAATTGCCACTATGTGCTGAATTAGGTCTTTTCGTTCTGAAGTAATGCTAGTCAGTTCTGAATATGTGCTGAGAAGGCTAGAATTAAGCTGAAAAAATTGCCACTATGTGCTGAATTAGGTCTTTTCGTTCTGAAGTAATGCTAGTCAGTGCTTAATATGTCCTGCAATGGCTGGAACAACGCTGATAAGGAAACCCAGTATGTTCTGATCTACTCCTGAAAATGCCTAGAAAAAGAACACGGTGCTGAATTCGTTCTAGTCATGCTGAAAACCAGCACTGAGTTCTAATCTGTGCCATTAAACAAACCATTTCAGAACAGATTCAGAATTTACTCACTATAGGATGCAAGAATTATTTCAGAATTACTGAGATTTAATTCAGCATTATTGTAAGCTTGGGTATGAAGGAATATTAAGAGGAATAAACTGTCTATAGAGTCTGGGACAAATTCCATCACTTACAGGTGATACTACTTCACTTTTAGTGCCCATTGTGACAAACTCAAATGACCTATTGCACATAAAATACTTACAGGACTCACTATGCTGTGAAGGGGTGACTCTAAACTTTAGGAACCCAAAACAACCTTGAGAACGGATTACCTTGATGAATGACCTTGAACAGGCAATCATCTGACTCGCAATGGATGCTGTACATCGTTTGCGATGCAAATTCGCTCCAGAGTTAGTTTTCGATTACTGTTTGGAGAACGGGCTCATAGCGAGATCTAAAACTTGCCAGTGCGGAGGTGTTATGCGTATACAAAGATACACTAAATGCATCGACGGTTATGTTTACCGTTGCAAGGATTGCAGATGCAGAAAATCAGTCCGAGAGGGTATGCCGTTATTTTTTAGTTTATAGATTCCTTAGATACATTTTTCTCGAAATCCCATTTACCTCTAGGAAAGATACTGATGATGTGCCACAATTGGGTTATAAGAAGACCTGTAACAGCAACGGCGTATGAAACTGAAATGTCAGAAGTTTCTGCAGTACAGTGGTACCAATACTGCAGAGACGTGGCGTCGTGGAAGATGAACAAATTGACCCAAGTACTCGGTGAAGTTGGTGTGACTGTTCATGTGGATGAGACGGTTTTAATAAAAAGGAAATATAATCAAGGGAGAATGGCTTCTAATCAACAATGGGTGTTGGGTATATATGGCACGACCCTACACAAAGGATATATAGAAGCAATCCCTGATCGCAGTGCCAATGTATTGTTGCCAATTATCCAACGTTTAGTACTACCGGGAACAACAATACACACGGATGAGTGGAGTAGTTATAGCCAGTTATCAAATCTCGGCTATATTCATGAGGTTGTCAACCATACAACCGGATTTATAAATCCTTTCACCGGAACTCATACTAATTCGATTGAAAGTTTCTGGAGCCATCTGAAAAAACGGATAAGATCGGTCAACGGATCAAGAAATCCAATGATTTACAGTTATCTCGACGAATTCATGTATAGGACTTGGTTTAATATGACTTTAAAGACTCCTATGTCTAATTGGGACTTTTTTTGCAACATATACGAGAACGCTATCCTTTGTAACTATTTTTTAACATTGCTTTACTTGTATATAAACGTTTTATTAAAATTATGCGCCGTTCATTTTGAGCCTTCTGATTGGTTAAAATTGTCCTTGTCAAGGTCATTTGTCTGTTCGTTCGTTTGGGTTCCTAAAGTTTAGAGTCACCTGTGAAGGAACGAGGATTTAGGACAGCGGCACAAATGGCTTTTTGGAGATGCTGAGCACTTGAAGGTCACTTGCGCACATTGTGATTGGTAGAATTTCCTTTGCATAAACGTTGCGGCTAATACGTGTTGTACGTTACTTTTTTTGACTTTTGATTACAGCTTGATTTCACAACGTATTTTTTGGTACAGGTATGGAATTTTCAGCATGTGATATCGGTATCCCAACCATAGATATCAGGTGTGCGTCGGAAGGGGATCGAACCCCGGACCATGTGCATGGTCGGCCAGCGTCCTAACCACTGTGCCACCGACGTGGGCTTTGAAATAGCAATAATAAAATCGGATAGACATTATATTTTTTGAGCTCAAGGGAACAAGTTAACATGTGTTTAAATTCCACAGATGTGCTAAGCATTGAATCCACTTACAAGAAGAATATTACTGGGCAACTTAATCAGAGAAGTATAAAGTATGAAGATCTAATCTCTTTCAGTTGGTTGTGACGGATGGATGAGTCACGTGCATAATATTTGCTTTTTACGGAAGAGAACGTATGACAGGTGATTCTAAAGTTACACAATTCTTCAAATCTATCATGGAATACATGGACGACTAATTTATAGAATTTCACCAACTCTGTGATTGTTCCCTCCCGAGTTCACATATTCATTGTGACTAAGATAAGGAATTGTTCACCAGAGGTAAGATTAATTTATCTGATATGTATCCATCCTCAGATATTTCTCAATACGGCCGAAGGTACTGGAAGGAGTACAATCTCAATCTCTGCTTGAAAAGTTCACATGCAGCTTCTCCGAACGGATCTGCTGGTGACGAAAACTTCGAAGACTGGTCCAACACCACTATCAACGGAGGCAAACTGATGCGGATGTTGCGGATAGAGTATTTATTGGACTTCATGATGATTATGACGCAGCTATAAAAAACTCTACAAGTGTGATTTTTTTCACTGGATTGTTATTAACTCTTTTTAGTGTAGATATGTACTCTTTCATTTTGGATTTTTAACTTGATTGATTATTGTTTCCTTGCAAATATATACATTTATGTCGATTAGCTTTTTCGCTTTTACGTATCATTTTGAGGATATCGCAGAGTTAACGAGAATGATAGGCAACGTAGTAATACTTATGTGAAATGCGTCAGTCTTAAACTGTTATTATTTCCTCATTGAATCATCAAGCCTTGCGTAAAGTGTTTCAGTTACGTTTGATCCGGTTGCGTATAATATTAGTATTCTCGATTGTCAAGAAAATAGCCGTTGAACATGTGTTTGTTCTGTAATAACGAAACATAACCTAGGAGTGTGGGTTCTTTGCGTACACGACTTGTATTGGTAGTCAAGGTACTTCAAGTACACTATGCAAAGTATATCTTATCTATCACGAATAGTCTATTATTCTTGTGTTGCGTTTAACACCACTATCTCAAAGGAAATCGTAATAAATAGATAACTATATTACTCTTCTTGTGTTATCATTTCGTATCAGTAGGCTCTTACATGATCACATCAACACTTAGACTTGTGTATTAGTTGATCAGTCACTAGACTTCACTGTTTTGCTATCATAAAATGCTGCACATAATTAGATAGGTTTTTTGTGCACATTGCCTGTTTATAAACGGTTTAATCGTGGAAGCAATTCCTCAGAATAAATAATATTACCCGATCACGACCAAATTCAACCACGTGTTAATATGACATTTTACGAATATTACGTCTTCTACACTGGCATCACTTCGCAACTCGACAAATAGTAAATATTCATAGTGGAGTGCAAAATTTTTAAAATAATGTTTATTTCAATAAATACATTCATAATATCACGAATAATTTATCATTCACACAAATATTATCCTTTCTAATCCCATTAGAATGCCTAAATGTGCTGAGTGATTGCCGAAATGAAGACCATAATTAAAAATGATAAAAATTCAGTCAGAAAATGATGAGTTAAATAAAAAACTTAAAACACAGTACCTACCATTTAAATGAGTGTCGCTTCACCGTTATCTGACGAAATAACCAACTCAGTTTCCTTTCTTGCTGTGAAATTTGCTAAAGATCATGAAATCATAATTACCTCGATATTCAAGCCCCCTCCTCGTCATTTACGTAAAATACATTCCAGTAATAAGAATTATTTAGCATTTTTATCATAATCGACATTTTTCAAAGAACTCTGACATTTCTTATACATCTCAACATGTCAATTCGACGAATAGACAGCATTTTTCAAAACACAGAAAACGACTATTTTTACTCTTCTTTTCGTTGAAATACGGTGTTTAAAGCGTATTTCTATCGAAAAATCCACTTAAAACAACGTAGAATAGCCCAAACACAACACCACGATAACACCTTAAAACTGCAGCGACCAACTGGTTTGTGCCGCTATCCTATACCAGGAACGGGTATGTACCTTTATTCGCTATTCACAGGGGATGTGACCAATGAAGCCGCCTCATTGACCTTGAATGGGCCAATGAGTTGTATTCACTTTACTCGAACGTCCTATTCCCCCTGATTTGGGTGAGGATAAAGTCTGTGGCGATGTATTTTCGCGCACTGTATGTGTTAATGTGTTATCGTCTACAGGGGCGTTATAAGCTTTTGTTTTTGTGAAAATGGAGTTTTAATCTTCCGAATTCGAAAAGAGCAATGTTTTCTTATATTATGTTCCTATCAATGCGTAAAAGTGTCTTGATATCCCAGACGAATTATTACTAAGAAAGGTATGCACTTGAAAAAATTATGCATATAAATGACTTTTATTTTGGTTCGGTAGCCTTTAAAGTTCGATAGTTGCTAGTGGTTTTAGATTTTCAGGTTGTAAATTGACTACAGGCAACGATTAATGTCATAGAGGTTATTCTATAAGATTCGGCCATTTGATATAGAAAAAGCCCATAAACATAAGTTAGATAGCTGTTCTGAGGAGCTTAAGCATTTTTATTTTCATCCATGATGAATGAAATCCTTCACAACACATTGAAGAAATCATACGTTGAATGAAACAATCGTCTGAATTTTGCATTGATAATGTGCATTTTAATAAAGTTCACACGTAGAGCTGCCCAGAAAATATACCTGTGAAGCACATCTTTCCGAAATGAACTAACAGAAAATGTCAACACGGGCACCGATGTGTGAGCCATCTTCCAAAGCTCAGAATGATGCCAAAACATCAATGAGTTATTTGCTTAGCGCTATCCTTGACAAGAGAAACAATGTATGTGAAAGTGAAAAGCACGAAAGAATTCTCTCATGACCAAAGAATGAGAAAGAAGAATGAACTTTTGTCAGAAAATGTAGGCAAATTTAAAGCGTTTGACTTTTTTATTACTTTTTCTACCTGCAGCGAATTCGGAAATACGCTTTATTCACTTATTTGCAGAAGTCTGGTAGCGCCAGTCAACCTGGTTACAGCAATTCAATATTACCGAAAGAATTACGACGAACAATTATGTACAAACATTTTCTTGTTATTATTTTTTATTGAATGTAACTAACATTCTACTTACCAGACTTTTCTTATTCTCTCTGAGTGAAAATAAATTTATCATCATTACGAGATAGAGGCTTGATTTATCTATGAGACCTGATAAAGTAACTGGTGGCATAATTGAATGTAAGCGAAATATTGCTACGATTGCTACAGCTCCATCTACTCAATCATCCGTCTCATATAAACTCAATTTCGCAATTTACCGTAACACCCGTAATTATATAGATTGGCATCCCGCTTTGAGTGAAATAATAGTAATGTACTACTTTTGAATACACTTAGTCTTATGCGAAATCGAACTCCACCTCAGTGCCCAAGTTCTATTCTTGTTTTCCAAAGACAGAGGTTTGGTTATTTTTGTCATTGATCCCTGCAGGTTTACCCACAGCTAGCAGAGGTAATCGTGTAACTTTAAGCAGAAGTTTAGGTTTGACCAAAATTTTTGTAAGTCATCACCTTCTGTAATGAACAGTGTTTGTATAGAATTATACTTACCGAGGCAGTACCGGTCTAGCATGACGTACTCCCACGCCATGCATATCAAATGGAGCACAAGAATATTATATGAAAGGTTCCACTTCACTGCAACACAAACAAGTTCATTTACGTATATGTAGGCTGAGAACAGCCCAAAGTGGAAGTCTTCGTTTAAGAAGTATCGCCCATTATTCGGAGGGAACTGGCCAGCGTCCTAATTGCGTCACGTTTGTATTCTTCCTCAATTCAAGCAAACAAAACTGTACGCCCACTTTGAAAGTTTTCCGGTGAGAAAAAGTGGAACAAAGAATATCTGCATAGCTATAAGTGAATGAGTGAACTGACCTCCCCTTATTGTTGTATGTAGAATCGATTCCTACAACTTATTATGCAAATTTACCTGGTCATAAGTCGTAAAACACTGGTAAGTGTACTTAGGATGCCTTTGTCCGGATGTGGCTACATCTGCTTGTCACTGAATTTCACTTGATCGTGCCTGTAAAAATGGCATGCATTTTCGTGTAAATTTATGTTTATATGAAAATATAAAAATTATTGTTATTACTAGCTGACAGGCCTCATTACCACTCAGCATTCCTAAAGGTGACAGAAAAAATTCATTGTTGTAAAGCAATAATATATTTACATAAATCAAGCTCTTATATACATATATATGTATGCCTGTTTATGCAGGAACATACCAATTGTACAGGCATGGATAAGTTATTATATAAATTACACATATTTCAATGTAAGGTGAATTTCCAGTTTGTTTGTTCTTTCTGACATCAGAGTCAGTCGGAACAGTCTGCAAAATAGTCTGTCTGTGTAACATATAAAGATATATAGAAACATTGTCTTCGCATTAACAAAAAACCCAGATATCAGATGAATGTAATACAAATATCTGGGAAAAATAAAGCTTGAAGTCAATTCTCCTTTATAACTTTGTTGTGAACAGCATCCTTGGCTTAAAGTTTATTGATGTATTATGTTGAGGTCAGTGATGTATTTATTCCATTTTTTCAGCAGTCTAATCGTAGATTTATAATAGGAAAGAAATTTGATCGTGGATACGAAAGCTAGATAAAGTCATGTTAGATTGTTTTACTGCATGGA